AATGGCTGCTGGCCCCGTCGATTTTTCCCTGTCAGTCTGGCGGATGATTCCGAGGTCGGAATTTTACACATCCGACTGGCCGACTCCACATTAGCCGATGATCAGCCACTCACCGAGGTGTGCATTCGATGAAGCTCTTTCACCTTAGCCCAGCTTAATTCATGTACCTAATATACGTGTAATTGCAGTATACGCTTCAGCCAAGGGCCGATATTTCTTCATTTAATACAATGAATAAACTCAAAATCGGTATGAAGAGATACTATATCAAGGGCTGGGGGTTGTTCTCCAAAATGTCTCAGTCACATACGCGTCACTCGAAATCAATCCATGGTACTGATGACGACTGCCCTTCCTCGGGAAAAAGCATGTCACCAGGAGGAAGGGACCTTGGAGTCTTACAGGCGACTGTTTGGGTGAGCTGAGACTCGCCATTGGTACAGTGCCAAGTAAATCCATCGTATTGAAGGGTATGCCCATTACAATCTTTGTGTATTCTGACCTCGATTTCCGTATGCTCAATTGCGGTTGCGCCAAATGGAGCCCATTGGAAGATTGGAGCTTGAGAGTGATGCTCTGCTTGGGCAAGAAAAAGGAGACGGCACTCATCTGCACGAGATATCCATCTACTCTCATGGCAACGGCCCGATAAAGGCTCTAGGAGGAACAACTGAACCGTGCCCGACCATGCAGCAGCGTTCAAATTTACTTGGATTTGTCCAAAGCCAGCTTCTTTTATGAAATTCCTCTGAAGTCCAAGGATTGTTGCCCCTAGCCAAAGGGGGGCAGTATCAGGAAGTTGTTCCATGAACATTTGTCCCAGAACCCATGAGTCACTTTCAAGCAATGGGTTTGCAACATCCAAAGCTCCCGGTAGCCAGTCCGGCCCTGTTTCATCCCACACCTGGCTCAAAGAAAACACCTAGTAAATTGCTGTTGATATCTCTAACATGGCAACTCAAGGTGAGAAGTCGGTCCAAGTCTTGATGTTGCGGTATTCGTTGTGGCTGGGTACCACTTTTGCGTCGTTGTTATTCATGGCAAGAAGTCGATGCGATTTCTTGCTTGCTCTTTCTGGTCTTTGGCGCTGGTAAAATCAAAGATCCGGTTCTTTGCAGGGATGGTAGCAGAAGAACTGCGGTGAGAGCGGCCAAGCTTTGATCCTCGGCGTCATGAAGTTGGCAAATTTATCGAGAAACTGAGTAGGTTCAGTGGACGATGCAGCTCTGCTCTGAATTGAAGGCGATGATGAGAGATCCTGAGGGCTTGAAAGAGCAAAATCGATGACTTGTGACAGAGAAGTGGACCACGGTGCTAGTAACTCATCATGTTCCATAAAATCATCATCGCCTCCCATCCTCTACCGGTGCCAGAACTGCAGCCCACCAACGAGCCTCCTCGGGGCTACAACTACCGATAAAAATTTCGACGGTTGCATGCTGAGGAGAGTTTGCTTGAATAAAATGATACTTAGGTGCTTGAATGTCGGTGTACGCGATAGATCTCTTCCTGGATATGAGTTCGATCCAACGAGTTGATAGCACATACGCCCATCCTAGCATAAGGATGGGGATATAGCTTTGATCCTGGAGAGGAAACCAGCTTTTGAAGTAGCCATAATTCTCATTGGTTTGGTCAATAGAAAGAGAAATCGGCTTCTTTCTCGAGACTGTGATTTCGACAAGCTGTTGAAAAGAGGGCATCCCATGTTGGCAACCTAAACACAGAGAACCCCAGTCTGAAACCCCGCTGACAAATGCCCAGCTATTTCTCGGATATTTTGCATGTTTGATCTCCACATTTGATAAGAAACGAGAGTGCTGGGGAAAGGCATCGCTGAGCGAAAGAGCGTATGGGTGCAATGCTGGCCTCGCTTGGGCTTGACAGCGCAATCCAGACCACAGCCTGAAACTGGCCGCGTACGTATCGTGGTACTCCCCGGCACTTGGTTGAATGGTGTCAATCATGATTCGATATCGCATAAAGGGAAGTTTGGTTTGGAAAGGGAACAGAGTGGGAAGATCTGAGGTGATGTAATGAGTGGGGGGGCTTTGACGGCGGAATACGTCCTCCTACGATTCCGCATAATACGACTTCGACACCAAGAACTAGGCAGCTTTCCAGGATGCCATAGCCTCCCGGTCATATTGAACGGCCGTGAAGCAGCCACAACGGCTATCAAGTTTATGGAATAAGTTGAGATATTGGGCAATGCAGGATCGAGTCGTAACCCGGAAGAAGCTAATAAGCATCGGAGGGCGATCGTAATTACGAGGAACCGTAAAACAAGGCATCAGACCCCGAGAGAGCCTGAGACGCATGGCGCATTAGTAGAGACCACTATTCAGACGAGAGAGGCATCAAATATAGACAGCTGGCTGGTCAGTACACGAGCTGCGATACTGTTAAGTAACTAGGGTGTTTCTGGGCATATATAAACAGCCGCAATTGTTTAATTACGAGGGGGGAATATTTGAAGATGGATAACGTTTTTTATAAAAAAGAAAAAAAGAATGAGGGACACCGGATTTGAACCGGTAGCCTTTAGGAGCTCCCAACTGGAATCTAACTGAGTGGTTATTAGATTTGGATTTTTACCCACTTGATCAGATAAACTTACCGCGCTACCGTTGCGCCAGCCCCCCACGTGATTTGGATGAACATTTTGCAACAAAGCCAACTCTTAATCTCCGAAACGCGCATGCTTCGCTTAACCAAATCCTTTATCTCGTGATACCTGGTCTTTAACGCGAACATCATGCGACGAGCCCGGCAAGGAATTTCAAAAGTGATGGCGCACACCCAAGAGTTACTACTGAACGGAATGATATCTACCTTTGCCGGGTTTCTAAAGAACGTGACTGATGTAGGGAACATTCTCTGAGGTGTCAACTGCGACAAGCAATCTGCAATCCCAAGGCCAAAACCGACGTTTGCCGCCGATATTCAGTTTCCCAAACCCCAGTGTTAAATATTTCCATTTCGTCGAGGAATGAAAAATCCGGATATTTACTTTCCTCGACGAAGGTTGGAGCGCGCTGCTGCATCGACCCAGGAAATTGACTGGTCATGATGCACCCAAGTACACGACTTGCTATCACAAGTAGAGCATCGAGGCTTCCGCAAGACATAGCGTGGCGACGACTCAATAGTCCAACGAAGGTTTGTATCAAGTGCACTGTTTTCTACGCATCTGCAACGTCGGAAAATGCATATCACAGCTGCTGGCAGGTTTACTGTGCTATTCTCATCCCGAAGCAGGACGTACGACCATCCTGGATTTTTGCATGGAGGCACAGCCCACATGGCTGGTCCGCTTGGTCGACAACCCTCGGTACCACATGGCACAACCCCCTTTCAAATAACGAGCCACATATCGTGCAGGCCCAAGCTTTTTAAATCGGGGGGATGGGTCATCAAGGAGCTGCGACTCATATGCGCAGCATTTTCTCGCCGCAGGTCTTGTCCTTGGTATTGTCAGGTGCGTGGTCGTACTTTTGGGTTGTATAGGCTCGGTGGAACGTCTTCCAGGCTTGACTTCCCAAATGCGTCGAATTCTCTATTAGCGAGTGCGATGCAGAGGTTCGTAGCATCATCTATCAGTGATGAAATCAGGTACTTTAACCCTTGCGAGCCATCGATTGTGGCATCGACATGAGGGTGGATAGTGAAAGTCGAGGTCAAGCTAGGCTATCATAGTTAATTAAAATTCCAAAGCACAATACAATGGCTATTTTTACTCACCGCAGTATTCATTTCATCCTGTTCAGTAAGGCACTCGTAACCTTCAACAATGTCGATCAGTTCGTCATCCATGTCAATGCCTGGGAAACGAGTGATTACCTTCTTGTTAGTATAGGAAATCTCGGCGGGTATTACACTCGTGGTAGGGCTCTCCGCCCAGATTGAAGCTTGCGTTGCCTGAGCAAGTGCTTCTGTGTTGTGAGACTTTTGCTGAGCCCACTCCGCCTTGAGCAAATTTCCATAGGTGCCTCGCCGGTGCGAAATCCCGTAAAAATGCTCAGGTCCTGGATTTTGCCTTTGATAGGCCGAGAGGCGAAGATCATTGCTTCGGCAAGCATTACGAACACCACGAATCGTTTCAAACGAGGTTGTGATGAAAGGGGTCTTCATCCCATTCAAGCCAAAGCTTGATGTGTTCAAAATCTCCCTAGATCGAACGGTTCTAGACGAAAGTTTAAAGCATTCCTGTACCGAACACACTTTCTCCAAACCACCTCACAACTACGCCCATGTTCTTTCTAAGTTCAAAGGTGAACTCAGAATGGATCCTTAGGATGTCTGATGGATAATTTCAGACCTCATCTAAAGCTTCTCGTCGGATTAGATAGTCGTATATAAGACATTGGCTCGTCGTGAACCCAGCATTAATAATTTGGCAAATGGACATATTTAATTAATCCCCACTGCTTACAGAGAGAGGGTCTTTAATGGAAATAGAAGGACAGTGCAAATAGCAAGGAACAATTATTATTCGACAAAAGGGGCTTATTATATATACAAAGTAAAAGGAAAATAATTAGAAATAGCAATAAAAAATTGAGGGACACCGGATTTGAACCGGTAGCCTTTAGGAAACTCCATACTGGAATCTAACTGTATAATTGTTAGACTTAAACTCTTCACATATTAATTAATAAGAGAAACATACCGCGCTACCGTTGCGCCAGCCCCCCAGTTAACGATGTTACCCTGGGAAAGAAAGGGAGCCATATTTGCAAAGGGAAAGGGAAAATATTTACTGAGGGGAAAAAAAAAAAGAGAGTGAGGGACACCGGATTTGAACCGGTAGCCTTTAGGAGTTCCCAAACTGGAATCTAACTGAGTGGTTATTAGTCTTAATATCGAATGTATCAATCCAATAGATACACATACCGCGCTACCGTTGCGCCAGCCCCCCGGCTTGATAGTGTCGATTGGAGAAAGGGGGACATGTATGCTAAGGAAAAGGGAAAATAATTTTAAAGGGCAAAAAAAAGTGAGGGACACCGGATTTGAACCGGTAGCCTTTAGGAGCTCCCATACTGGAATCTAACTGTGAAATCGTTAGACATGAACATTCGACCCGATGAGTAGATAACTTACCGCGCTACCGTTGCGCCAGCCCCCCGATTTGATGTTTGTTCTGCATCAACTTGTCACTTATGTAGGATAGAGCGTAAGAACGTTATCTCCATACGCCTCTGATGTAGACAACTCCGTGAACCAGAACACCATGTGGAGGTTGCCTTCAGTACAACCTACACAAACTAGTGATCACGATGCGGCATTTTTCTTGCAAGCCTATCGAGAGAACAATTCGAAATGTTTGTTTCATTCGCCCGTGGCTAGGTCTAATGATCCAGTGTCTCCCACTACTTTTTATATATCGGCTGACTGCATATGGACACTGAACTCACAATTGGCCATTATATATGTGTCCTTATTGTAAGCTAATCACAGATATATTAATTTCTAAGACCATGCCACTCACCTCATCTTTTCCCCGCCTAGACTTCTTTCTTACGCCATCGCCAAGTTCTTTTTTTTCTGCCTTCCAGCATCAACCATTCCTTCCACTCTTCCCAAGAGTGTAACCCAGGATGAATGTAGATCAAGAATTTATCAATATCCATTCAGCGAAGACTACGTCTGCAAGGATTATGTTGTGGGTGCTGAAGACACTGTCCTCATCAAGCGTCCACCACGCCACCATGGATTGAATTCCTTAGGACAATGTGTCAATATGCGCGCATTGTGTGGCATAGTGCTCAGAGACGTCGAATACTTTATTGCAAAGACCGATAACACGGCACAAGACCCTATCTTGCAGACTCAACTCACCGATTATGACAATTGACTACCCGAATAATAGAGGTTCTATTAGAGGTGCAGGGAAATGGAGGGGATGGCTTCCTGGTTCTCAGTGACAAGGAAGTGCCACAGGATACTGCTAGGGATGCGGTTCGAGTGAGAAACTACGTAATCTCTGCCATCGGATTCTGCCCTGAAACAGGTAAAGCCATCTCTTACCAAGAAAGCAGAAGGTCCAGCATGAAACGGGTAAGGTACAGCTAATCACCCGTCCGCATATGCAGAAAGAAAGTCATGCCTAATGCTGTTTCCAACATGTTGCTCGATTTGATATCGGGCGAGCTCAGATATTAAAAAATTAGTCGTTAAACCCCCGACTACTAGTTTACCAAATCGCATTCTCGACCTGCAAGGAAAAGGAGATGGACAACTTAGCAAAATTTGTGCGGCTGGGTCATATTTTGATACAGAATATATCTTGTGTAGCACATGCTAGAGAGCTAAACGATGTCGAGAACTTCAAGGAGTTAAGCTAATCTAGACCAACTCGCTAGGACAATTCTACCTTGTTAGCTAAAAAAGTCCATTAATCTTGAAATATCCTTTAGGTCGATCCTTTCATTCAGAGAAAAAGTTCACTGGAACTAGTACTCGAGTGAGGTAATTGCAGCTAGCTCCGAGCACCAGATACATCCTCTGGGCTCTCAAGCTGGCTCTCGATGCGTTCGACGAGGTCGTTGATCATCTTGACCATAGATCGACCGCCGCCACGGATGAATCTGACTTTGACTTGACCATTTCCGTTGACAACCTGCTTCACTTGAAGACGAAACCTCCGAGCAGCGTCTCCCGAGGTTGCTTCAAGGGCAAAGCAGTCGGCCCGGGGACCTTCATCCAGGAAACCTTGGAGGAAAATTTCCTCCCCATCGCGCAAGTCGAAGTAGCCTTTCCGAATGCAGATTTTGAGATTCCAGACAAGTACGCAATTTGCGTAATTGCTGTATTTTACAACCCTCGTGCATCCTTCCATCAACTGCATCAATGATGTGTGAGTCTTGCTAGCTGCGCTAGCGGCTTGTGCTCGCCGTTTTTGGTAGAGGTAGTATGCATGTATAGCTTCGTCTGTGCTACCCTTGAGAGCGGTAAAAGCACGTGCACAAGACAAATAGTATTCTCTCTCTTCACTAGAGGCATTGTGGATTAGTTGTGAATATGCCAAATGTCGGCTGATCGAGGAAGGATCTTGGATGAATCCCTGCCAGAGGGGATTGGCGATATTGAGCCCGCGACAGATATTGTTGATGTCCTCAAGAGCCATGAAGTTCATACGCTCTGCTTTCGGGAGAGTCTGAAACATTGGCCCACAAGTCCAAAATTCCAGTAAGTTTTTCTCGACATGTTCGTCCTTGTCCGTATACGCAATGATGATCCAGACCGAGACCTAGTCAGAACGAGAATCCCACACATGGTAATGCAGAGAAGGATGGCGGGCGCGGTGCCAAGGATTGCAGTGCTGTTGATTGATTCGGTACTCCAGATCGTCTGCTTGCCCCCCATAGCCGTAGAAATCATCTTGGCCGGGGTGGAAGAACATGTGAAAATATATTCCAGATCGTTTGAAGTCGATGTTCCCACTAATGGCAACCAGGCTATGGACGAAACGGTCAGTTAAATATACACATGCCAAGAGCAAGGATAAGGAAACATACTCGTCGCGCCTAAAACTTTCTTTGCCGAGAACCTTGACGACATCAGGATTGACGTAACTGCCAAGGGTCTCAACCACACCACCGTCATCACCCGGTAAATGTTGGTAACGGTTACTCTTGTGGTTTCGAATGCTGGGGAGAGCATACTGCATGAGAGTTTTGGTGTCTTTCCGCCCACGCCATGTGTACCCTCTTGCAGCTTCCTCATCCAGCGTTGACTGAGCTACCGCATACTTCTCATCCTTTCTTTTCTTCAGGGCAAGTCTAGCTTCGCTTCGAGACAGAGCTCGGGACTCTATGACGCCTGGTTCAATACGGGTAGCCGGGGGAGTGGCCGTCATGTCTGCCGTAAGTGTTGCTGAGGTAGCGCTGACCGAAATCGATCCGGCTTGGATGTCGGCTTGGGGAGGAACAGACGGAAGGATGGGCAGATTTGTTTCGTTTTCCCTGAAGTCCTTGTTCCAGATGGTGTAGAAGAGATCCTCCAGGATCCTTTTTTTATGCGTGGTTTGCGAACTCCTTTCAAGGATTTGCGAACCCTGTTCGATGTCCATAAGCCAGAAATTGACCATCCCCACCCTCGCGGACCGCTGTTGAAGGGTCTCCTCATCCCTCGATCGACCCCAGAAGGTGGGTGGGTACCTGTAGAATTCGCGCAGATCCCCGGTAATGGTGGAAACCAGCTCCTCAAATAGTGAAGGACGTGCGCGCAACAAACGCTGCAAAGTTTCAGTCGATGCGTATCGATCCATCGTGTCGATCCGGCTTTGAGTTGAAAAGCAAAAGAAAACAAAGAGTATTGCTATCCTCATTGATGTTCAGGTGAGCAGGCACTTATTGCCGATGATCAGCCGTTCACCGAGATTTTGCCCCACTTAACCTTGACCCTAGATTCACCGAGCATGGTTCAATTAAGAACCGCCCGTTGAGGGCAAGGCGGTGATTGGACTCGTCCGCATGTCAACTCGTGTCCCGAAGAGGTTCGACTTTGTTCAGCTGTCATTGTTTCAAGCACCCTCTCAGATCCCTTGGGAGGCAGCAAAGGACACCTCGTATCAACCCCTTGCGTCCTACGGAGCCGTCGGCGTCTAGGACTACGAAAGGCCGAGCCCTGACTAAGACTCTCCCAACACAACCCAGTCCGTTTGGGTTGAGATAGAGAAAGCAACCACCTTCAGACTCGGATCTCGCGACAAGCCGCACTTTAGACACACGGAATCATGGCCATGAGCCCCGAAGATGTCGCTGCTCTGCTCCAGCGAGAGGGCAGCGGACTGTCGCCAGATGCCTATGACGAGACTCCTCAGCCCGACGGAGCTCACCAGCAAAGAACGGAGGCTTTGGCTGCTGTCTTGGACAGTTGTCGAGAGGCTACGCAGCAGAATTCGGAGCAATTAGAAGCCATGGCTAAGAACCTTGGTGATGGAGGTCGAGATGGTGAGTTACCAGAACTTCTCACTTTCTCCTCACCCTGCCATGGTGTCTCGATTTTTCGCATGTCTGTGGGCTGCGGGCCTTCTCCTCGCCATGTCACCGCATGATGTGGTTGCTCTCGTGTCATGGTTCTTTTACTCCGAGAGAGACGCACACTAACTCAACACAGTCGCTTGGCGCCTCCCGTATGGGGAATCGGGCATCCTCAACTTCTTCCTCGAGATGCTCGCGGCTGAGGGCGTGAGCCATGGCGTCAAAGTCCATACTCTGCGCATTATCGGCAACTCGTGCGCAGACACAGATGAGAACCGTGCTCGTGTAGTCGACGGCAACCATCTCGCCTCCATCATGCGCCAACTCCAGGACGAGGATCTCGTTCCCTACGCCATCCCCGTGCTATTCAACATCCTCGTCGACTACGGTAAGTGCCATGCCCATTCTCAGCTACAAAAAGGCACGATCAAGTACTGATTCGAGTAGAACCTGCTCAGAAACTTGCCTCGCAGTCTGGCCTCAACACTCAGCTCATCTCTCTCCTCGGCTCCCCGAACCTCCCGCGCTACGCCCCGCTCCTCACGTACTTCTGCAAGATCCTCGCCCTCCTCATCGCCCAAGATGGCGAGGCCGCCGTGGCCAGCCCGCTCACCGTCCAGGTCCTCCTGACGCTAGCCACGAATGCACCGGCAAAGGACGACGTGGACGACTTCATGGCCCTCATTTCCACAGCCGCAAGCTACCTCGCCAATGAGTCGTTCCAGGCTAGCTTCCTCACAAGCCAGCAGATGGACCTGTTTATGACGGCGTTCTATCATGCGCACACGGCCTTTAGCCCTGAGGAGATGGACGATCCGGAGACGGCAGGACTGTTGAAGCGAATGTGCACAGCTCTGCTCACCACGCTCGCCGATCTCTCTGGCAACGACTCGTTTGCCACTTACTACCCCCTCGACAGCTCGGTGCCGCAATCACTCCTGGCCTGGCTGCAAGGAGCAAACCCTCGGCTACAGTCCGCCGCCTGTCTCGCGCTCGGAAACCTCGCCCGCTCCGATGAGGTCTGCCTGGCTCTCGTTCAGACTCACCAAGCCCACCGTCCTCTCATCAACCTCCTTTCCAACCCCGCCATCACCGACACCCAGCGGCTGCATTCTATGCTCTCGTTCCTGAAGAACCTCGC